TCTCTCTCTCTCTCACTCTCTCTCACCCACTCTTCCCCTTCTCTTCTCTCGGGTTGGGCGGAGGTGGTGTTGGGTATGGCTGGGTGCGTGTGGGGAGGGGGGTCTTGGGTGGTTGGGTTGGGTTGGGTTGGGTTAGGTGGGTTGGGTTGGCTGGGCTGGGCTGGGCTGGGCTGGGCTGGGCTGGGCTGGGCTGGGCTGGGCTGGGCTGGGTTGGGTTGGGTTGGGTGAAGAGAGAGAGGGAGAGAGAGGAGACAGAGAGAAAAAGGGAGAGGGAGAGAGGGAGAAAGTGTGTAGGGGTACAAGAGAGCGAGAGAGAGAGAGAGAGAGAGAGAGAGAGAAAACACACAGCCAAAACAACAGTCACGACACAATATGCACATGCATGCGTGTGCAATTAACTGCAATAAGTGAAAGCAACCCCACATGCATGCATTCAGCTGGGCACCTTGGACAACATCCACGAGAAACTTGTTGTGCTGCATGATCTGCGCTGCTGGTGCTTGCCCCCAGACCGTTTTGTGGTTCGGGTACTGCTGGGCCTGCCAGTTCTTGAACATCCTGAACATGTGCTCGTGCTCGGTGATGCTTCTTAGGCGCTGCTGACATAGCCGTGGCTGTTTTGCTTGCATGTTGGCCAACTCACCGAGCACACAAGTAGGCAAGATCACCAAGGGGTTCGTAAAGTCTGAGTCGTGGATCTCTCCCCTCATTGTCATGTCGTGGATGCTGTACTGCCAGTGCTGCTGCTCGTCATGCTCATGCTGCGTGTTGCAAAGCTCCGCGGCTTCCTCGTGGACGGCCTTCAACAAGGCTTTTGTGACACCCTTATTCCCGCCCCAATCACCAGATCCATGCTTGGATCCCTTCGCTGTGCCTTTGCCCTTGCTTTGCTTACCGGATCCTTTTGGGTCTGCTGGTCCTGCGCTCTTGGTGGACCCCTTCGGCTCGCCATGGCTTTGCTTACCGGATCCCTTGGGGCTGGGGTGCTCCTCTGCTGCCACACTGGATCCCTTCAGCTCGCCTTTGCTTTGCTTGCCGGATCCCTTGGGGGTGGGGTGCTCCTCTGCTGCAGCACCGGATCCCTTCTGCTCGCCTTTGCTTTGCTTACCGGATCCCTTCAGGGTGGGGTGCTCCTCTGTTGCAGCACTCTTGCCGGATCCCTTCGGCTCGCCTTTGCTTGTGCTTTGCTTGCCGGATCCCTTGGTAGGGTGCTCCTCTGCTGCAGCATTCTTTCCTTCAGCTCGCCTTTGCTTGTGCTTTGCTTACCGGATCCCTTGGTGGGGTGCTCCTCTGCTGCAGCGCTCTTGCCGGATCCCTTCAGCTCGCCTTTGCCCTTACTGGATCCCTTGGTGGTGGGGTGCTCCTCTGGTGCAGCACTCTTGGTGGATCCCTTCTGCTCGCCTTTGCCTTTGCTTTGCTTACCGGATCCCTTGAGGATGGGGTGCTCTGCAGGTCCTGCGCTCTTGGTGGATCCCTTCGCGTACGTCTCGCAGTCGAAGAACCTCCTCATCGACTCGGGGTTGAGGTTGCGCAGCTCAGTCTTCTCGACGGGGCTCGCTTGTGGGTGCTCGTTGCTCTTGCCGGATCCCTTCGGCTCGCCTTTGTCGGATCCCTTTGCAGTGGGGTGCTCGTTGCCTTTCCCTTTGCTTTGCTTGCCGGATCCCTTGGGGTGCTCCTCTGCTGCCACGCTGGATCCCTTCAGCTCGCCTTTGCTTTGCTTGCCGGATCCCTTGGGGGTGGGGTGCTCCTCTGCTGCAGCACCTGATCCCTTCTGCTCGCCTTTGCTTTGCTTACCGGCTCCCTTTGGTATGGGGTGCTCCTCTGCTGCAGCAACGGATCCCTTCAGCCCGCCTTTGCTTTGCTTACCGGATCCCTTGGTGGGGTGCTGCTCTGCTCCTGCACCCTTGGTGGATCCCTTCAGCTCGCCTTTGCCGGATCCTTTACTGCTGTCGGTGCTGGTGCGAGGCTTCTTAGCACCCTTGCCAGTGCCAGCTGCACCCTCAGCCGGCCCACGTTTGGGCGCCATGGCTCCAAAAAGCCAGCCCTGGTCGGAAAACTTGGGCTCGAGAGGCAAATTCCCAAAAGGCACGCTTCCAAACCTCACCCGGCGTGGTCGGAAAATTTCGACCCAGGAGGGGACCCCCCAAAACACGAAAAGGCACGTTTGGGGGCCCCATATAAGGACGCTGGCACCCAAAGGCACGTTTCGGCACGGTCCGTCCCGACCCCGGCCCGGTCCTGCCCGCCCCGCCCGGCTCTCGATCCATGCCTTTTAGTGCCCTTGCCCTCTGTGTGCATGCCCCCAGTGGACCCAATTAATCTCCCACATGAGCACAAATCAAGGCATTCATGCAGGCAGGCTGCAGGACATGAGTGTTTGCATGCTCGCTCTCTCGCACACACGCACACACATCACACCACAGACACGCACAGACAGCTGACACGCACACACACACACACACCCCCGCACACACACCACAGACACACACACACACACAACCACACACACACAAACACACACGCACACACAAAACAAACAAAAACACAACACAACACAGACATATAATATCATATATGCAAACACACACACACACACGCACGCACTCTGGATCCTGCATCACGAGTATCTTTGTCTCTTTGTCTGTCTGCATGTCTGTCTGTCTGTTTGTCTGTCTGTCTGTCTGTCTGCACGCAGACATGACTGTCATGTACAGAACTGCTGCAAGCGATCGGGGCCTTCATGTATACTCGCGGTACTTGTCAAAGTCACGTCCAGGTGTCAGCTAGCTCTACATGCAGCTTGCACACCGTTGCCATCAAAAACCGCCAGCAAACATATGTATGCATATCTTGTTAACACACACACACGAACACACACGTCGTCTCAACGGCCGGCTTTAAGCTCACATGACATTGTCTAATCCACTGTCTGAACTGCACTCGGAGGAGTCATCACGGAAGCTCAGCTCGGCATCAGCACAGATCCTCGTCTGCAGCTCTTGCGCCTGCAAGATCTTGGCCACCTGGCAGTGGACACCACGGGATCGATGGTGCGTGTCAGCCTTTGCAATGTGTGTGCTCCATCCAACTTGAAGCCGGAGGTCAGCATTAGCCTGCCTGCCTGGGTCGTAAATTGGGGGAAGTCACAGGCATCAACTAGCTCGAGATGTGTTCATGCAGGGCCCAATAGGATTCTTTAAAGTTGGTGGAGTTCATCTTTGAAGGGAGAGCGAAAGAGAGAAGACCCCAAAATCATCACCGCCGGAGCCTCGAAGCCAAAGCCAGCAGGATAGGCTTTTGAAGCTTCGAGATCTCGACCACCGCCCTTAAGTGATTTCAGTAAGGCACGGCTAGAGCTCTAAAGTCCATGCAGCGATTAAAGATCCGATCTTCTGCGTATATGAGACCCGGACAACCTTGGACTCTCCCTGGTCATTCTTCCATCGGACATGAGTCTCGATTTTCAGAAAGCTTCGAACTCGTCGAAGCTGGCACCTGCCAGGGATCAGACGTGTACCAAAAAGGTGCCCGATATAGGACCGATAGGATCTACTGTCGGGGGTTCGTGTCCAGCCTGCGCTCTTTGTGGAGGACCCTCTTAAGCTGTCGAAGACCTTTCCAGTTTCCAACCAAAGTCACCTAAGATAAGACAAGTTGTTGTGACAAATCGTCTGAAGCCCGAACTCCCCTAATTATTTGCCGTCCTGGGGGCAGCCTTTGGAGTCGCTGCCCCGTAGCACCCCAGGTGTATCGTGACTTTCATGAACTTCATCTTCCGCAGCAGCTTCTCAGTTGCAGACACACCATAACCCACAACAGTTGTTACGATTCGAGTGTGCTGCATGCAGTATTCTTGGCCAAAGCTCCCGGAGAGGCACATATCGCCAAAGCAATGTGGAGCTCGGGTTCTCAATCACAAAGTTGACCTTTTTGGCCATTGCATATTGCAGCCTTAGATGATCCCGAGGATTTCAGAGATTGTGGATCGGTTCTGATTTAGGCACTCGACCTCTAACGTATGATGCTGCTTAAGAGCAGATAACACATGCGGCGGCAGAGGCGGTTGCCCATAGCACATTTGGGGCCCAATCCTGCGGACTGTCACTCGACCCAGGCTGCAACACTGCGATGCTGCCAACACTGCTCCTTGTGGTCGCAGCCAAGATCTTTTGGATGATGATCGGGACCTTGGACACACATAGACTCAAGTATTATGGCGATTAAGTTGTATATGTTTAAATTATGTATATGTATATATGTGTGAGCTATGTGGCGTAATTGTAATGTGCTGGTCCATGCGTGCATGTGTATGTAGCGATATGTACATGCATGCGTGCATGCACGGTGCAATCCCTTCCCGTGTGTGTGTATATATATATATACATATATATATATTTGTTTATTTATTCTTCTACATGTATATATAGCTCTTCTGTCGAGTATTCAGATCCATATGAGGATTAAGAGTTGTGCATGCATGCCGGTGTGAAGCTACTTAGTGTGTTGCGGTGTGTGTGTGTGTGTGAAAAATTCTACATTAATTGTATATATATATATACATACATATATATATATATATACCACGTACTAGATATGGATGTGTTCGCGTGGGTCGCCATTCTTCAACATGCGCCTCATGCTCATGCGGGCATGTTTTCAACAAGCGGAAGCATTGGGTTTAGTTTTTTGCACGCGGTTTACGGTTTAGGGTTCGGGGTTTGGGGTTAAATTTAGGGTTTTTTAGGGGTTGGGTCGGCGGTCATGCGGGTGCCGCAATGGCGTGTCGCGTGTGCCCTCCATGCGTGATCATGCGCGGCAACGGATGGGTTCATGATCAGTCGTCTTCGTCCGTCGTTCTTCGTCAGATCGCTCGCAACCAATGCCATGCAAGGCGGGTCTGCAGGGTATAGAATTTGTGCTCCCACTACTCTAGGTGCAATCGGTCAGGAAAAGCCGTCATCCTCGTGTCGTGAAATTAACAGACTGCGAACCCCGAGACGTGCCAATGACGATGATGATGCGGCTCCTGTGACCTGTGGCCTAATGTTAGCGTCAGCAGAATCACATCCTGCAATCACATCCTAACTTCGAACAAGATAACGGCACCTGTGCAACCTAACATGTGTGTTCAGTGAACGTTGGTGTCGGGAGCGACTGCGATAGCGACGGCGTATCAACACGTACAATAGCGTTGTGTACAGCACATGATGATCCAGCCGGAGAGTATGCCACGGTATGATGTGTGCCGGCTGCTGCAACAATCGCTCCCGTCTAGGACCTTTAATTAGCATTGTGGTTGTTTGGGCGGCATATAGTACCTTCAGTCTCTGCCAGATGTGTATAGATGTAAGGCATGCAGACTCGAACAACCCAAATCCTAGATAGGACCTCAAGATCTTTCAGATTGCCATAGCATGTGAACACTCTATTTATCGAAAACCTTGGGTGCATCACGGCCCTGCACGCATCCAAACATTACCTATTGGATTTCATGGGTTTGTGCATGCTCTTATGAGTCTTAGCCTTAATTGATTCGTGTGGGATAGTCAGATTAACGGCGGACAGATGTACCTGAGTTTCGAAGCAGGGCTATATTGGGAAAATTGGTGACTGTAAGGTTTACATATACGATATCGGGCATCACTGGTGCAACGGCGACGGGGTTCTGCTTCTAGTTAGATTCGGGGAGGTACTAGAATCGAGGAGCAACCGGGAACCCCAAAGTCAACATCACCTGCTGAAATCACAGAATCGATCTGCTGTGATCGACAATCAGCACTACAGCCGGAGCCTTCATAACTATAAGGCCATTGATAGGATCAAACCCCGCTAAGCTTCCTATAGTGATTGAACCCTGTAGGATCCCATAACCTCTGCCCCCGAAGCCCGGGACCGTGAAGCCGCAAACCCAACAGGCGTGGCCAAGAAACCTGTAGGGTCATAACTTCATACCGAGTTAATGCACCCCATATATCCCCCGGAAAACAGAACATGTCAGGACATACCCGCGACACAACTACAAGCCCTAAGCCCAGCAAAAATCCCAGAGTACTATCCTGCAAGTCCCGATCTTCCAAGAACCGAAAAGGACCCTCCAGAGCCCCAGAAAAGGAAGGTAGCACCAGAATTGAAATTTAGCTCCGACCTCTGGGCCCAAGGAACTAACTAATCCATTAACCCAAACCCACATGTAACTGTATTCAAGTGTTCTTAAGTTACCCTGCAACAAAGGCTTCGTCCTTGCAAGCTAAGCAGGACCCTGGAACAGTTAAGACTCATCTGAGGTTACTGCATGAAGATCCAGCTCGCGCACGGAATCGCGAAGAACACCAGGCCGCCTTCGACGGTGTGCCGGACCTTGGATATAGTTGCAGTGTTTGGTCTTTTGTTGCTGATGGGTCTGCTGCGTTCGCCTCACAAGCTTTCGAAGCCGAGCGTCTAGATTCAAAGCCAGCAGAAAGCCGAAGCCACTGCAGAGATCCATGTTACAGGAATCGGCCACCTCGGATGGTGTGTGCAATCTTGATTGATTGTGGGGCATACTTGCTTCGATCCGTGCGCATTCCTAATGCCGAAACGACACATCGTAAGTCCTCGCCGACAAACCCAGTGATCTAGCAGCAGCCGCCATTGTTCCACAGCCTCACATGCCGGGCTGGATAGTTGAAAGGGTTTGTTCGGTTTGCGTAGCAGGTTATATAGTTGCAGGCCAGGGGCCCGCAAAAAACTCCACGAGGTGGATATACTCGGATGTCTCCAATGGCAAGCCTGCACGCAGGTTCGCAGCACAGTGGCGTCCCTGCAAGCTAGCGGCGGCTCTGGTGCAGCTGGGTATCTGGCTCGCAGTCAGGCTTGTGAGGATGTAGGCCAGCACAGAGTACCGCATACTTGCCGAATTGAAGCAATCACAAATCTGGATTGAAAGTTGTAGTGTTTGTTTTTACCAGTGTGCATGCAGTCTGTGTCTCGCAAGCTAGATGCAGCAGCTGTGCCCATGTGGGCACGGTCCCGCAGATCTGCGTGTGTGAATATATGGTCATGCAGCCAAGCTTTCTGAAACTAGCACAAGGCACATGGACACATGCATGGACACAAGCACCTCATTCGAAGGATCATGCATGATACATCGGAGTCGCTCACTGTTTTGCCAACCCCCGGCAGCTGTGTGATCCTCTTGAAAGAAAACGCAGTCGTTCGTGACCGGAACACATGACATGACAGCACACAGGTGGCTTCCAGTCACAATGCTCGCGTGATCTTTGCAATCAGAATGCAGGAGTGCAGAAGGACTATGTTGATGCATGTGAAGCCTGCCCCATGCAACTCGTCATCTAATCTAAATGTAGCGGCGTTTCTTCTGCTCCTTCAACGGAATGGTGGAGAGGACAGTCGTCCGCTCATCCGATGTCCACCACCTTGGATGATATAACCGCACTCGAGGATCGCAAGAATGGCAGCACATGTGCTCGGGTATTGTGAATCGACATGGCGCCGCTCCCTCACGTCCTTGAACTTGAGGTGGGGCTCGGCCGCGAAAAGCCTTATTCTCGAAATTAGCCCATGTTTGCACATCTACGAAATGGGAATATATTGGTGCGGCTGGGTGGCTGTTCCTTGAACGACTCAAAAGCGGCTGTGTACGGGGTTACGCTTCCATTTGCTCTGGCCTTGGCCTTTGCTTTGGGTTTCGTCGGGTGCGATTTGGCCTTTGCTTTGCCAGCTGCTTTGGCCTTTGCTTGTCCTTTTGGCTTCGGCTCCGCGGGGCTTTGATACTCCACTGGCTGCTTGCTGGCCAGCACCAGCCTCTGGGCGTGGGGGTTGATCGGCCGGGTCGAAAGATGCGGCTTGTCAGGAAATGGATGCACCGGTTCCTCAGATGCACTCTCTCATATCTCTCACTCCTTTTCTCTCGCTCCCTCTCTCTCGCTCCCTCTCTCTCGCTTCCCGTTCAAAAGTCTCCTGCATAGCCAATATGTTTAAAGTCTGAACATCTAAAGCTGACAGGGCTCTGGCTCCTTGGTGATTCGAGTCTTGTCTTTCACTGCCTGTGTTTCTATATCTGGCTGCATGATCATGTACCCAGTGGTCGGATAATAAAAACCTGTAGCATATACACAGCTTAGATACATGTGTGCATGTGGATCACTCGATGTGGTGGCGTGGGCCTCCTGGGCTTCCTCCATGTCGTGGTTGGCCAAGTCATCATCGTGATAGTCGGGTTGCTCCGGGGCCTCCTAGGTGAAATGCCAAATCAACGTTTACATGTAGTGTTTGCATCCCTCAAGTAAGTGCATGTATAGCCTCCTCGTTCATGTCGATGCCCATGGTTTCGATGAAGCCATTGAAGATATCGTCGTCCGTTGGGTCCGGGAAATCCTTGCCGCTTACTTCTCCTATGACTACTACAATCATACAAGCCGCTGTTACCTTGCAACTGCCCTCGATCTGACCCTATATCGCACTTCTAACTTCTGATCGGTGCTCGCACTTTGTCCTAGCTCTTGCAAACTCTATAACTTGATGATGGCCTGATCATCCGGATGCTCGGTCTCATCCATCGACCAGCCCCTTAAACGATGCGATATGTGTCGATCGTCGCACTCACAACAACAAAATCTCCGAGTAGCTGGTGCGGCTCTGCCTTGGAAGGATCCATAGCCTTGGGTATTGCTATTTACTGATCATGAATCTGAAGCCATCAATCTACTGCAATTCATTGCTGTCTGGCAGCTTGCACCTCCAACGAGAGGCCATTCTCATCACGCCAGGAGACTTGTCGATGCAAAGCTGTGTTCTTTGCAGCCTGAGCGTGTCGTTCTTAATGCATGATCATGAATCCATGTGTGCCCCCATCTTGCAATGCTGTGTTAATTGCTGTCTGGTTTCTGGCGTTGGGGATATGCCCAGGAAACGGCACCAAATGCAGTCAGAGCCCTGCCCCTCCCCAGTCTCAGGCCACGGAACCGCAGACTCCTCGAGCCACCAGCGATCTGTATCCGCAGAGGGATCGTACGTGTCATCCCAGCCTTGATCAGCATGCCACGGCTTCGTGGCATCTGAATCCTTAGAGGCCTCGACCCGCGTGTCATCCCAGCCTTGATCAGCAAGACACGGATTCCTGGCATCTGAATCCTTAGAGGCCTCGGCCCGCGTGTCATCCCAGTCTTGATCAGCAGGCCATGGATTCCTGGCATCTGAATCCTTGGCCTCGACCCACGATTCATCCTGCAGAGCAGCGTCTTCGACCCAAGATTCGGCATTGCCATCACCGTCACCCCATCCACCTGCGTGCGTGCGATCCACACATCAGAATATTATGTGAGGAGTTAAAAAGATCACCGCAGGAAAAACCTGCCTGAAAGGTGTGTCTCGTCCCCGCACTCGTCGAGAATCGCATGTGACTCGTCCCCGTGCTCCTGAAGAATCGCATATGACCATCAACATGCAAAAAAAGTATGTGGTATATAGGTACGTACATGCATGTAGTACATGAATGCCCACCTGGTGCCCAGACGTCCATGAATCATCACCCAAAGCCTGCGTAGAAGTGTAGTTTTCATTGATGATCAAAGCTAGGGCGTGAAAGCAAGCCTATAACACAAATGGCCTCAGCCTCCTCGTTATTCCAATCGCCCCAGACCCTCGTGGGCGCATCCAAGGTAGCCACGGATTCGGCCGATGCAGCCTGCGATTTTGTGGGCTATGTATGGTGGAAGAAAAAACAATTTCAGACCTCAACTGACTGCCCACATGTCTGGATGTACACATGACCTAGCTGCATGCACAAATCTCGAAAGAGAGAGCCGCACGGTTTAACAGAGAGAGAGAGAGAGCTAGGGCTAAAGGAATGAGATAAAAAAGAACGACATATCAAGCACGATTTTATTTATGTTACGATGGAGAGTGAATAAACTTAACGATAAAATTAGGGGGGGTATATATATATATACATATATACATGGATATGGATGGCAACCAATGAATTCGGAGAACCCTGTCAATCCGGGTCTTTAAATTTGCAAATGACCTTACACCTCGAAGCCTTGAAACTTAAACGCTAGGACGACACCCATGAAGCAGGTTGCTCCCTGTGGCTAGCTCGCGGGATCGTTAATTTCAGAACTACAACCGACAATATGAGAGCACTATATCGTAAATACTGGTATGTGAGTAGATGGATGACAATTAATGTCACTCGATCCTGGTGCATGCGCCGGGCCTTGCACTTCAGTGCACTTTCGCGATGAAGTCTGACCTGATATGTGCATCGATCGATCTGGACTCTAATTATCAGATGATTCTTGAAAGTAGTCACGGGTCTTGCTCTGCTCGAGTGGCTGGAGGCACAGCCAGCGCTGATGTGTCCTGCAGTGGAGTAATGCATGGTCACTGCGTTCGAATAAAAAACGCATGTCGCTGTGCGTCCTCACTCCATGGCTGTGTGTCCACATCATCCATGGCTGCAAGGGCTTCTTTGCCACGTGGTGGCACCAACGAGTTTTTAACAGCTCGTTTGCAAAGATGCTGTATCGTCTTAGTCTGCCTCCTCAGCCAGTCTGTGCGTGTGAGCCCTTCAGCTGGACACAGCGGAACCTCTACTCTGTAGTGGTCGAGTAGACGTTCTAGCGCACGCTTCACAGCTGTTTTTGTAAAGTACCGGGGCTCATGCACAGCACCGCACCATGCAAAGGCTTGGCGGCAACACAGGTACTTCAGGGAACCCTTCGGAGCTATCGCACCTGTCTTAAGAACTCGATCGCCCCCATCAGGGCGCACACAGGTTAAGTGCAACTGGGCCGCTATGTGGCGCACTTTATGCCCGATGTCTTCGGACATTTGGCCAGACAGCTGCAGCAGCATCATGCTCTGTATGCCCGACATATGAGCGAGCGCATGCCGATACATATCTGCTGTGATGTGATTATATATTCAGGGTTATTTCAAGTTGGTTCGGTTAAAATGCATCATGATCATTACAGCATCAAGAGCAAAAGCCGTGCGAAAATCAACAAAAAATCCAAAAAAGTTTGCATCATGAGACCAGAAATCACCAGCAACAAACGGGAGCTCCAAAAGACATAGCCATAAGGACGCTTAATTTATAAGGCCGTTCAGCCATATAAAGCCGATTGACACGTCCTGGTAAGGAGGCCCGAAAACCTCAGCTCTCCACGTTCAGCCTATTTCGGAACGGCCCGTGGGGAGTGATTCACGCTTGTCGCCAAGGGGACGAC